GACAGGTGTGACGTGTGGAGACACTTTTGGTTGTCACATCTGGGGAAGTAGGTGCTACCGACGTCTAGTGGATAGAGGTCAGCGACGTTGCTAAACATCCTTAATGCACAGGACAGTCCTCTGTCACAAAATCAAGCGCTCCAAACATCAATAGGGCCAAGGCTGACAATCAGGTTCACCCTCCTTAGTAAATCTCATTTTCCAATGCATGGTCTTTCTGTTCTTTGTTCAGATTCTTGACAGCAAAAACCACTCCCCAAATCAGCAACTTGAGAGAAGACCGAGAAGAATGGCAACATTTCTTTTACTCAAATTTTATTGGAAGTTTACAAATGTATTACAGACATCAGTAAAACATCATATCCATTTTACAGGGCACAGATCTCAAGCAAAGTGTTCAGAACAGTCTCTGGCAGAGCCCTCACCAAAGGCCTGTTGCAGACCTTCTTAACAGATGGCTTGACACGCGACACACAACACAGACTCTCACCTGCCTCACCTTTTCGGGCTTTTTGAAGTTTTATTTATGTACTTGAAATTAAATCAGGAGCTGGGCAAAGCGATCCTGTGCAGGGAAGAATGATTTTCAGAGAGGGAACACTGCCAAAGCCCTAATTTGCTAAGGAAAACAGCGGACTCATCGGCTGTAGAATGTTAAGTCAAGGTCTGTAATGGAATCCTCATACTTCATGGAAAAATATGGAAATCAACTAGATAAACTTGAGAACAGACCTTATTGGCAATGCTGAAGAATGTATTAAAGCTTGGTTGGTCGTTGACCTATTGAACATCAATGGCCAAATGCCCCATAGGTTCAAGGACATCTCAGAACACCATCAGGATAGAACACGATGATTTTTTTCTGTCCTATGGATTCATCCTATCTAAATCACAGCGATGTTCTCATAACATGATGTGACTTCCCTTCCTCCTTTGTATTCTCCTGAGGAAAGCTAGTTTTGTCAGTAGGAAGTAAGCGTATAAAATAGAATAGCTCCCAATAGTGAGCCATGTTTTATGGGAGTCTTGTGCTGACTGGGCTAGTAGGAAGAGAAAATGGAAAAGCATCAGTGCTTTCTTGATTTTTAACCCTGATGAGTACTTCCAAATGGCCCGTACAAACAAAGTCTGGAGTCTACTGGGGCTCCAGAGGGCACTTTGCATGAAGACTTTGTTTCCACTTCTCTTGCACTTAAAGAAATGCACCTCAAAATACAGCAATCTGAAACTGCTTTGAAATCTGCAGAGAAGGCATGGTTACTGGGTCCTGCATAGGCAATGCTGTCTGCAGAGCCCCATTGTAAAGCACTGAAGGTGCTGAACAGCTGCTAAGAACAATTCTTTTGGCATGAAGTATTCAGATAATTGGTTCAATTTCCCACTTTCCTTTGTCATAGATGGATCCTCCTTTTTAGGCGTTTACATCTGGTTTCTGTTAGAAATATACAAAGAGCACTTCTCTTTGGAATTTATGTATGTGCGAAGGGGGGAATCAGATGAAGAATCAGATGGATTCTTATTGGACCTGTGCAAAATGATGAACAAAGATCATTTAGAATGATTGGCAAAGAACCTAAGAGTGGAAGAGGAGGCCGAAGAGATTTGTCTTCATTTAGTCTAAGAAATTAGCTTCCTTTAGCCCCATAACCTGGCGGGCAGAGGAACTGGATGGCCCATGGCAAGGGAGCCCAGGATACGAATCAGTTCACAAATAAGATTTGTTACCAGACAAATAAGATCAGTTCTGATGGACTGGTCCTGGCTTGTTGGTGTGTTGCAAAGCATTTTAGGCTGCATCTGCATTCTGGGAAAGCTTGCAGTGTTACGGTGGTTCTAACTGCCCAGGATGCAAGGAGGACAGAGCCTGTGCAGCACACATGCCTTCACGGGCTCCAGCTGAACTCGACGATGGCCAGTCGTGGCCGAGCAGCAGAAGCTGCTACAGCAGGGAGAGAAAACAGAATCTTGTTACAGTGCAGGAACAGCCCCGGGGAAAAGATGAGGGAGTGCTGCCTCCTGTTCCCCTATTAGAAATTAAAAAATAAAAAACTGCTTGTTCATTCAGCTGGTTGGGAGCAGAAAGGAAGGACAAGAAGAAGTGAATGTAGAAAGAAGGTATCAAATGAGCAATATTAGGAGTTCTCTCTTAGTCACAGAAAAACCCAGGAAGCAGAGTTCATGGTTCTGATTTCCTTCAGCTCCTTCACCTGCACATTTGATAGAGCTCACAGAACTATGTGGCAGGAGGAAGGGCCCCCCGGTGCCACGCGCAATGCCACCTGGCTACTGGGAAGACTTTCCATAGTACCAAGGGTGGTGTGTGTTGATAGGGCCATTCAGGAGACGGTCAACAACCTATACTTCTGGGGCCTGGGAAAAAGCCAGTTCTGTTGCCACTGAACTGATGGGAAATGAAGTGAATTCCAAAGTTGTAGTTCTAAAGACAAGGCCAATATGAGGAGAGGTAGAAAAAGAAAAACCAAGGCGTCTTGGAGAGAGGAAACAGAGAAGACTACTCTTCTGAAAAATCATCTACTGAAATGGTGATTTTTTTTTGGAGAGGTTTTTCTATAGGGTGCGTGCGCTCACCAGAACTAGAGAAACAGAAAGCTAGAAATCACTCCCAGGGAGGATGGCTACGTGCAATCCCTTCTCCTCCATTTTCCTCTTGGGATCTTGGGGACGCACGCACATGTCTGGGACTCGAACTGCAGTCGACTACATGGGAGTCCAATGACATAGCCAGTACACCAACTGCTGGTCCCTGAAATGGTGATTTAAGAAGAGAGAATAGGCTCTACTCAGGGGAGAATCTCAACTAGTGAGAGCTAGCGGTGACAATGGAAGAAGAAGGTAAAGATCTTATGTTCTTGCCCCAGCGAAGAATGCACTGAATTTTTGCGAATGGGATTCCGGGTTCTGTGTGCTGTTATCACAAATGGGTGGAAGAGGCATTGGTATTCTCTGCAGGGTGCCTGGCTGCTCTGAGGTGGGAAGAACTCTGCAGTGGAGGAAGAGATGAGCATGACCTTGCTAGTCAACAGTTTGACCCTGAGGCTTGTATCTCATTATTTCTTAAGCTCTGACCAAGTCAGTCCCTGGGTGTTCTCTGGACAGCTAGACCTGAAATTAGTAATGCCTCCAGAACTCTTTGGATACTGGCTATGTGTCAGTTTCTAGGCCACCTTTTTCTGCTGATGGTGGTTAAAGCTTTATTTGGGAAATGTAAGAGGTGACTCTAAGAACAGAGTTAGGAAGAAACATTTATTGGGAGAATTTCTTTCACTGAATTTGGGACCACAGAGGAACAGACATTATTTTTAACTGTTTGCTAAGTTAAGTGATCTACTTTTCTCCTCCCTCTTTTTTTCCCCCCAAAATACCTTTTTATTCTCATCAATCAAAGAACTCAAAATCCATATTGGACTCACCCAGTTTCTACCAGAAACCTGCCACTTAGTAGCGTGGTGTTGCACGTTATTTCTTAATCAGCTTGCCAAGCAGTTTACAAACTTACTATACAAATGTAATAGAGTTAATTCTCCGGAGGCTCGGATAATTAATGAAGCATTTAGATATGATAGCATGCGGAAAACAGCTACAACCAACATTTGCATTGCTTTTTCAAAAAATCAGTGACAATGACAAATGTCATATTAATACCCGAAAAGCAAATTATTTTAATACATCCTGAATGGAGTGCCACTTCTTCGTCCTTTACAGCCTTCTTTTTCCCAGACCCATTGGATGGTGTCTGAAAAGCGACTTTTCACATTCTCTCCATAGAAAATACTAGAAAATGTTAACTACTATACTGAAAAGAGACCACACTCACCTCACCACGGTGGATGGCCACTGAGACACACTGCGCACTACACTGACAGTACATCTCACTAAGGGTGGGTCCTCCGATGGATTATTTCAACTCCACAATCCACTACGGGGAGGAGGAGAATGGAAGAAAAAGCAAGCGCTTCATTTTTAACTGAAGCAAGATAGAAAGTTTTATTTGACTATAAACAGCACAACCATTAAATGTCTTCTTTAAGCAAACTCACTTTTGAGCCCATTTTTTTTTTTAAAAAAACCCCTTTTTTGTCCCTTTTTTTTTTTTTTTTTTTTTTTTTTTTTTTTTTTGTCTACCCAAGTCCTCAAAGTTCAAAATGGAAACTTCCCCCTTGGACAAAGTCTGTTTTCCAGAGTCCTTCCACTGCAGTCTCCTCAGCAGCTCAACCTTCGTGGGTAACCCAGACACCCTGGTTCCGAGCTTGGTAAGCTGGGTTCTTTCTACAAGCACTGGGGGCTATTTGAGGTGGTTGCCACCTCTTCTGGACTTTTTTCCCAGAAGTTCTTTTCTCTGACCTTCCTCAACATTCTCCTTTAACTTCTACCCTTGACCTGCTTTCCATTTCCGCATGGCCTTGTTCTTTTGCTATGCAAAACACACAACACACCCTAACTCCCAGAGCCCCCTTGGAACCAACCTCAATTCCAAATACTTAAGTTCATTTGCTTCGAGGACAATGGGTTGTCAAGCTAAGGCGGCAGTTCCGTCTGCCTTGGTAAAGGAAAGCAGATAATACAATCCAGGAAACATGAGCACCAGAAAATAATGCCACATTCAAAACAACGTCATGCTGACATCACACAACGGCACCATCACGGTCACTTATTTCCCCCGAGGGAGAGTCGACATGAAGCAACTTCAATGTTCCTAGCAGGGATGGCATTTCTCACGGAACTTGACTGACACTGGCTGGTTTCTCTAATTGGCAAAAGTTACGATTGCAGTTAAAAAAAAAAAATGACTAGTACTTGGTAGAGAATGAGGGTGGGAGCGGACTTAAGGACAGCTCCTTAAGATGGAATGGAACATAAAATGCTTTGGGTACAATAGTTAAAAATGTGTTTTTCAACCACAAAAAGCCAAAGTTTTCTTTGAAAAAGGTCTCACTGACATGTAACAAATTTGTATAGAAAAAAAAAAAAAAAAAAAAAAGGAGGTCCTGGGCCACCTTTTAATACTACTTAAAGACAATGCTGGATGTGCATGCAAAATCTCCACTGGGTCCTACGATATATAAATTCCTTTTGATATTACAAAATACAAAAATATTTTATCAGAACTCTCATTTACATCGCATTTACAATGGACATGTAAATAACTTAGTCTTCGGTCCTGGCTAATAAACAAATTACTTACTGGAAAAAAAGGGTCCTGAAAGGAAGAGAACCAGAGAAGATATAAGCTAGCGGGAGGGAAACAATTTGCCATCTTGAGTGGCAACTCAACACACAACTGATGGGAAGGAGGTGACCAACCCTGGCCTCCACGAAGTCTATTGTGTTTCCAAAGTGAAATGTGCAAATAATATTCAACATGCCAAGAACTGTGACTACCTATGGAGTCCATCTGCAACCTTGCCTCCACCAACTGAGCGCTCTCCCTTTCTTCCCCCGTGAACCGCCCCCCTCAAAGCGCTTTCCCATGGAAAACAGTGCAAGTTTCAGAATTTACATTCTCAGCTCCCATCTTCCCCCATTCCCTGACTGCAACCATCTTAAGAAATGATACAGTTTTTGCTCTTTTGTCTCTTCCTGCTGTGCAACTGTCCTCTGCTGCCTAACGTGGAGGAGGACTTGGGGAGGCCGTACGAGCTGTATTTGTGCAGCAGCTCGTCGCTCGTCACATAGCGGAGGCGGGCTGGCTGGGGGATCGGTTCTCCGAGGAAATAGCCCTCATTGTCGGACTCTGAAGAGGAGGAGCAGGTGGAGCACCAGTCATACTCGGCAAAGTAGGGTCCCCATCGCTCCCCAAAGGCGTTCTGCAAGGCCAGGTCTGACACAGTTCTTGGGCACTGGCCGTACAGATCCCTCCGGGACCCCTGCCCCAGGCTCTCCTGGAAGCTGCGCTGGCGCACGAATTGGTCGTAGTCCTCCCTGGCTCTCAGAGGGGGCCTTTCTTTTAACCGAGAGATGGCCTCGCGCTCGCTGGCCAGGTGGAGGGCGTTGTCCGAGCGCGAGCGGCGGGAGCGCCGGGACCGGTGAGGCCGGAAGCGCCGGTTGTCGTCGCGCGAAGTGGCTCTTCTCCGGGTGCGTTCGCTCATGGGCTGGATCCTCACGCCCTCCTGCCCGGGCAGCTTGCTGCCCGCCATCCCCCCATCAAAATCAAAGCTCTGATGCAGCCTTCCGTGTGACTGCAGGTCTCTGTACCCAATGGGGTTGCTCAGCTGGTGGAGGTTTCCCTCCATCTCCTGGTACTGCTGGGCCGAGAGCAGGCTGCGAACCGACTCTGCGCTCCGGAACTGCATGGACGAGTTGAGGGTGCCCATGTTGCTCAGCTTCTCGGAGACGTTCATTCCAGAGTCTTTGCTGAGGTCAGGCATGGAAAAGCGGGAGAGGTGCTCCTGGCGCTTGGCACCACCCTCGGCAGAGAGGCCTGGGGAGAGAGGAGAGGACCACGGAGGTTAATACCGATGTGCAGCAGTGGGGGTCAGTAACCCTGCTGGACGTCTGTCCAGGGTCACTGCGTACAGGTGTGCAGTATTGCTTTCTCAGCGAGCCGGAGAACGTGTGCGGGGGCTCGCTCCACTTGTGAAAAATGCATCCAACAAGGGGCACCGTCCTGGTCATTAGTTCCTCTGAAGGCTCATCAGCGTTGCTTAAGAGCCCAACATGTACCTAAAGCATCGTTTCAGTGTACTAAGTGCTTCTATTACCTTCTGGGTTCTAATAATCTGAGCGATATAAGCTAGGGAGAGCAGATACTAAACCTGAAGTGAGAGAGGCAGGGCACGCCCAGTTATTCCTGGCAACACTAAACACTTCCTATTGACAGTTCCAGGACTCCAGACCAGCTCTCTGTCCGCCTGCAGCTGGGTCCTGCTCTGCCTGCTGTCCCCAGGTGGCACGCAGCCTCTATCTCAAATGTCTGGGTCACTCAGTGACTCCCTAGGTATAGACCGAGAGATATTTACTCTCTTGGCCTGTTTAGTGAATGACTGCTCCAGGGCTAGAAATGAGTTTCTAGTGACCAGAAAATGCAAGTGGGAACCTGTGACATCGCTCTGTCAACCGATGAGACGCCTTTATAAAAGAAGCAATGCCCTGAATGCTCTCTGACAGCAGGCGCCCTTAGCAATGGCGCTCCGTTTCACGCTAGGTATAGACCGAGAGATATTTACTCTCTTGGCCTGTTTAGTGAATGACTGCTCCAGGGCTAGAAATGAGTTTCTAGTGACCAGAAAATGCAAGTGGGAACCTGTGACATCGCTCTGTCAACCGATGAGACGCCATTATAAAAGAAGCAATGCCCTGAATGCTCTCTGACAGCAGGCGCCCTTAGCAATGGCGCTCCGTTTCACAAGTTCCTGGCACCCCCGGGGACGATAGCCATTGTGAAGGCAGTGGGAGATATTGGCTTTAGTAAATTCTGTCTTGCTCATCTTAAAGCAGCACTGTCTAAGATGCTTGTTTCGGAATAGGCCAGGTGACACAGTCTCAGCATTTTCCACTCATTCTATATAGAAAGGATCAGCAATTTTGTCATTTCTAGTCAAAGCACCGTATCTCTGGATGGCCATGGCCCATTACCATCCCAGCCACCGATTATTCCTGCCTCCTGAAGAGGCTCATGACCTCTCCTCCCCTGGCAAAAGTAAACCAACATCACGAGCGCTTTGGAACACTACTTAGCTTATCAAGTAAAGCTAAATTACAAAGAGACTTTCTAAGTTCACGGGAAAATGACAAAGTATGAGTTTATTCTGGTGCGAAAGTTTTTTGAAATCCATTTCCAGTTTTTCGGTTCTGTTTTGTTCTCCCCAGTTGTCAGAAGGTGTGTGCACTTGCCAGAGAAGAGATAGACAGAGTGGAAGAGAGCATCTCCCAATAGGGTATGGTTATTCTGCAATCCCTCCTCCATCATGCCAGGATTTTGAGTACCTGCACACATGCACACATGCACACACACACACACACACACACACACAGTTTTTGAAGGCACTGGACCAGGATTCAAACTGTGGTCAGCCATGTGAGATATAGCTCCCTTAACTACTAGACCATGGGACTGGCCCAACATTTTTATTTAAATAATATGCATTTTTGGTGAACTTTTGGATGCTCTTTGGATACACACATGCAAGTATCTGAATTATGAATGATGCTGCTTTGAATATCCTTGTCCATTTTGTATGGCTTTATGCACTTGTACCTGCTGAGCATATAAGAGTGGAGATTCTCTGACTTTCCATCACCACTCTTGGATACACTGCAGAATAAGTTAGCTGTGTGTTGTCAGAAAAGTCATGACGCATTTTTGCATAGGAAAACATAGAAAAATACATCATAACTTTGTAACTTTTCAGATGACCCAATCCATAGCTTCAAAAATGTGCAAGAGCATTCAGAGAAGGTTTCTTCTCTTGTAGCAGCCTAGAATTGGAAGCAACTCAAATGTCAACAGATAAAATGGATAAATAAGTTGAGGTATTTTCTATTGACACCAGGACTTTATGGAGAAATGGCCAATTGCAAGAGAGAAGAAGAAAAGGTAAAAGAAGAGCCCCGAACACCTTGTCATGCCAGGAAGTAAGAAATGAAGTGTGCTGAGGGTTTACCAGAAGAGCACAAGACTCAGGTTGAAGGGTCCTCGGGTTAAAAACCAAAACCAAACCAAACGAAAAACTTCCTGAAACAAAGAGGAAGTCGCGACTCTATATTGGTAACATCAATCAATAAATAATTGGGGAAAAGAGAAGGCGTACATCTATAGCAGAGTACCACTGCCTCAGCACAGAGACCGTGTGGAGGGAGGGAGTGCCCACTGGAAAATCATTTTTCAGGCATTACGGGTAGAGTGCTTCATGGAAGAATCAGAAAGCGTATTAAATTTAGGGGATAAAAAATGAGGGGGAGCACGCTTGTAAAGAGTCTCTTCGCGGGAACCAGCAGTTAGCGTAATGGCTATGTCGCTGGACTCCCACGTAGTCGACCGAGGTTCGTGTCCCGGACCCGGTGGCTTAAAACTCACGCCGGGCGTGTGTGCGTGCGTGCCCAAGATCCCGAGAGGAGAATGGAGGAGAAGGGATTGCGGCGTGACCATCCCCCCTGGGGGGTGATTTCTCGCTTTCTGTCTCTATGTCTCTCTCTGTCTGTCTGGCGAGCGCACGCGCCCTACAGTGAAAATCTCTCCAAAAAAAAAGAGTCTCTTCGCAAGGGAAGAATTCGTCACTATGTAGCAAAGTAGACAACTTCATTTTGAGATCAAATAAAATGGATAAATAAGTTGAGGTATTTTCTATTGACACCAGGACTTTATGGAGAAATGGCCAATTGCAAGAGAGAAGAAGAAAAGGTAAAAGAAGAGCCCCGAACACCTTGTCATGCCAGGAAGTAAGAAATGAAGTGTGCTGAGGGTTTACCAGAAGAGCACAAGACTCAGGTTGAAGGGTCCTCGGGTTAAAAACCAAAACCAAACCAAACGAAAAACTTCCTGAAACAAAGAGGAAGTCGCGACTCTATATTGGTAACATCAATCAATAAATAATTGGGGAAAAGAGAAGGCGTACATCTATAGCAGAGTACCACTGCCTCAGCACAGAGACCGTGTGGAGGGAGGGAGTGCCCACTGGAAAATCATTTTTCAGGCATTACGGGTAGAGTGCTTCATGGAAGAATCAGAAAGCGTATTAAATTTAGGGGATAAAAAATGAGGGGGAGCACGGTTGTAAAGAGTCTCTTCGCAAGGGAAGAATTCATCACTATGTGATAGCAAAGTAGACAACAACTTCACTTTGAGATCAAACTTGACATCACGGAGGAGGGAAAACTGGACACGGTGTGCTCCAGATGGGTTGACCTAAAAAGGATACCTCACCCTTTATGTAGTTGCCTAGCCTAACATGCATATTCTGAATGTATTCAGGAGGAAACAGTAGACAAATCCCAAGAGGAGGAATCTTTTCTTAAGAAACAAAACAAAACAAAACAGTAGTCTTAAAAAAAAACAAGGAGGCACCAGCAGTTAGCGTAATGGCTGTGTGGCTGGACTCCCATGCAGTCAACCACAGTTTGCGTCCCGCATGTGCGTGCGTGCCTAAGATCCCGAGAGGAGAATGGAGGAGAAGGGATTGCAGTGTAGTCATCCCCCATAGGGGGTGATTTCTGGCTTTCTGACTCTGTCTTTTCGGCGAGCACACAGGCCATAGCAAAAACCTCTCAAAAAAACAAAAAACAAAAAACAAAACAAAACAAAACAAAACAACAACAAGGAAAAAAGTTTCCAAAAAGAAAAGGCTGAAGGTATGTTCTAGACTGAAGGATACCAAAGAAATACAGCAACTACATACAATACCCGATCCTAGACTGGAACCAGCTCTGTAGGAAAAATAAATGCTTGTAAAAGATAATGTCTTTTGTTAACTGAAAAGAAATTGGAACATGAGCATAAGATGAAAGTATGATGTTAAATTTACTGTGGCTAACTGACCGTTGTGCTAATGCTGGAGCAAATCCTTTTTTTTTTTTTTTGGGGTTGTTTTGTTTAGGGGGGGTGCCACTCGCCAGAAAGACAGAGAGAGACAGAGAGCGAGAAATCACCCTCCAGAGGGGATGGCCATGCTGCAATCCCTTCTCCTCCATTCTCCTCTCAGGATCTTGGGCATGCACATGCATGACCACACGCCCGGCATGAGTTTAAGCCACTGAGTCCAGGACTGGAACCGTGGTCGACTAGGGTTTAAGCCACTGGGTCCGACACTTGAACCGTGGTCGACTAGGTGGGAGTCCAGCGACATAGCCATTACACTGACTGCTGGCCCCTTTATTCTTGAAATTACATGGGAAAGTCTATGGTATACAAGGTCGAGATGGATGTGACTTGCTCTCACATGATTCAGAAGTACATTATGCATGTGCCTGTGAACATGAGAATGAATGGGGCAAAGTGTTAATAACAGATCAGTCTTGGTAAAGAGTACATTACTAGCGCTCTTTGTTCTATTTCTGCAACTTTTTGGTAAGTTTAAAATGATTTCCAAACTAAAAGTCATTCTTTTAAAAAATTATAGTATATGATGTAATGTTTTCCAGTTCCAGGGAAAACCTGGAGACATCTTTGGTTGTCACAACTGTCTCCCACCTACTAAATTCCAGTAGAGGCCAGTGATAGTGTTAAACATCTTTCTGTACAAAGGACAGCTCCCCCCAACCCCCGCCAACGCAAACAATTATCCAGCTCAAGATATCAATAATGACACACTTGAGAAATGCAGGTAAAAAAAGACTACTTCGGGACCAGCAGTTAGCGTAATGGCTATGTCGCTGGACTCCCACGTAGTCGACTGTGGTTCATGTCCCGGACCCGGTGGCTTAAACTCACCCTGGGCGCGTGTGCGTGCGTGCCTAAGATCCTGAGAAGAGAATGGAGGAGAAGGG